CTTTTTTTGTAATAGAAGATACCAGTTTGTTTCATTTGGGAATTCTTTTTCCATCTAGTTCAGAAACTGGAACATGGTCACAGGTAGTATAGTATGTAGAATTTTTTTTTTCTAGATACCTTGTCCTAATTTAGAAAAGTTCCTTTTTGTAGTTATACTGTGAACATTAAAATGAAAAACATTTTAGAGAGTGATACCCCTGACTTAATGTGTGTTTGTGTGTGCATGAGCAAGGGATTGTTTTGAAGCAGCTTTGCTTTGTGGTCATTTTGATTGTTTGTGATGCCAAGTGAAGCTGCTCTTCGTAAGTCGGCTTGATTCTCTGGTTTGGTTAGAACACTTGCTCCCCTACCCCAGGGGTGGCAGCAGAGCCCATAGCGTACTTTACCATGTGCTGCAATTGATCAGCCTGTATTGAGGAGAGTATCACAGAAGTTATGCACTGGCCTTCTGGGTTTTGAATAGAAACCCAACAGAAACAGTGCCAGTTTCAGAGATACAAAATAAGCTGACAACCTGAGAGTAACTATTTTGATAGTTGGAAGGGCTAGATAGGCAGCTTGTCTGTTTATAGGTAAAACCTGTCTGACAAGAGAACCTGTAAGATTTACCACTAGGAGAAAACTTTGAAAGGGCAGGGTCTTGTGTAAATGAGGTCCCTTTTTACCACTAATACTGAGGAAAAAAGTCTGTGAAATTAATTTTACTGTATAAAATATTATATGTATAATATAAATTGGCTCAACTTATACTGAAGCTGTTAGATTTGGGGCTATTAATTTCGTATGTATGTGTGTTTATAGATTTGATTCTGTTCATATGGCCACTCATTCTGCTTATAAAACTGATAGTCTTTTTAGCATAAAATTAACAACTTATTGTTAATTTAGTAAACACAAATTAACATTTCTCAGAAAAACCTTTGGCTTTTCTAGTAAGCTGTCAGGTTGAAAGACGAAGAGATTTTTATTTTTTTTTAAGATGATATTTTAAAAGGAGTATCCTGTTCTGAGTCTTCACCATAGATTTTTTTAATAACATCTTTATTGATACACAGTTTTATATACTGTAAAAATTATTCCCTTTTTATTTATTTTTTAAGATTTTATTTATTAGCATGAGAGGGGGGAGGGTCAGAGGGAGAAGCAGACTCCCCGCCGAGCAGGGAGCCCGATGCGGGGCTTGATCCCCAGACTCCAGGATCATGGATCATGACCTGAGCCAAATGAAGGCAGAGGCTTAACCAACTGAGCCACCTGGGTGGCTCAGTTGGTTAAGCAACTGCCTTCGGCTCAGGTCATGATCCTGGAGTCCCGGGATCGAGTCCCGCATCGGGCTCCCTGCTCGGCGGGGAGTCTGCTTCTCCCTCTGACCCTCCCCCCTCTCATGCTCTCTCTCTCTATCTCATTCTCTCTCTCAAATAAATAAATAAAATCTTTAAAAAAAAAATTAAAAAAAAAAACAAAACCAACTGAGCCACCCAGGAGCCCCTGTTTATCTATTTTTCAAGTAAGCTCTATGCCCAACATGGAGCCCAAACTCACAGCTCTGAGATCAAGAGTCACATGCTCCACCAACTGAGCCAGCCAGACACCCCTAATTACAGCCCCCCTCATTTGGGGGCAGGTTGGGGTTTTGCTGCTGTTGTTGTTTAGAAGAATTTATTTAAGTAATCTCTACACCCAGTGTGGGGCTTGAACCTACAACCTCAGTATTAAGAGGTACATGCTCTTCTGACTGAGCCAGCCAGGCACCCTCTTAATTACCCCCTTTTTTAAAGAACACAGTTTACTGGTTTTTCAAGGGTTCTGCAACAATCACCACTATCTAATTTTAGAACATTTTTATCAACCCAGAAAGATCTTCCCTCCCTTCGCTCCCCCATGCCCATTACTAGTCATTCCCCATTCCACCTGGGCAGTCCTGTTCTGCACATTTCATATAAATGAAACCATAAAATATGTGGGTTTTTGTGACTGCACCTACTTGGTATAATGTAAAATGTCCATACTCCATTCCTTTTTTTTTTTTTTTTAAAAAAGTTTTTTTTTTTTTATTTATTTGAGAGAGAGAGAGAGAGAGAAACAGCATGAGAGAGGAGAGGGTCAGAGGGAGAAGCAGGCTCCCCGCTGAGCCGGGAGCCCGATGTGGGACTCAATCCCAGGATTCCGGGATCATGACCTGAGCCGAAACCAACTGAGCCACCCAGGCGCCCTTTACTCCATTCCTTTTTATTGCTAAATAATATTCCATTATATGATTATACTACATTTTGTTACCTGTTTATTGGACATAGGGGGTTTTTTTGACTGGTTACTAATGCCTCAGTGAACACGAGTTTTTGTGTGTACATATGTTTTCATTTCTCTTGAGCTTATACCTAGGATGGTATGCTATGGATGGATTGGCTGGATCACGTGGTAACTGTTGAACCTTAGATGATTAGCAGATATTTTCTCCCATTCTTGGAGTTGTCTTTTTACTTTCTTGATGGTGTCTTTTGAAGCACAAAAGTTTTTAATTTTGATGAAGTTCATGTGATCTAGATAATCTGTTGTTTTATTTTAAGGATTTTATTTACTTATTTTGTTAGCACACAAGCGGGGGTGGGGGGACGGCAGGCAGAGGGAGAAGCAGGCCCCGGCACACCCTCCACCCCCACCAAAGAAGGCCAAGCAAGGAGCCTGATGTGGGATTCCATCGCAGGACCCCAGGATCATGACCTGAGCCGAAGGCACTTAACCGACTGAGTCACCCAGGCATCCCGATAATCTAATATTTTAAATAGTAATTTTTCCATCCTGTTTGGGTATTGAGAGTTAATTATATTGGCATTTCCTAAACTTAAGAAGAGAGTCAGATGAGAATAGTATCTTAAGGAATACAACTGACAGGAACCTTTTAACTATTGTATTGTGGCAGAGTACACACAGCGTAAAATTTAACCATCTTAGCCATTTTAAGCATACAATTTAGTAGTGTTAAAAATACATTCACGAGCGCCTGGGTGGCTCAGTTGGTTAAGCGACTGCCTTCGGCTCAGGTCATGATCCTGGAGTCCCAGGATCGAGTCCCGCATCAGGCTCCCTGCTCAGCAGGGAGTCTGCTTCTCCCTCTGACTCTCCCCCTCTCATGCTCTCTCTCTATCACTCTCTCTCTCAATAAATAAATAAAAATCTTTAAAAAAAAAAAAAATACATTCACATTGTTACGCAGCCAGTCTCCAGAACTCTCTTTATCTTGTAAAACTGAAACCATACTAAACAGTAAACACCCTATTTCCCCTCCCCCCCCCGCCAGCAACCACTGTTCTGTCTCTGTGAATATGATACCTCATATAAGTGGAATCGTATTGTATGATTTTTATATTTGGCTTATTTCCCTTAGCATAAATTGTTCAAGGCTCATACATACTGTAGCATGTGTCAAAATTTCCTTTAAGACTGAATAATATTCCACTGTATCTCTATGGCACTTTTTTGTGTTGTTATTCATCCATCAGGTGGATAGATGGACTTCTGAGTTCTGTCTTTTGGCTGTTGTGAACGTTGCTACTATAAGCATTAGTGCACAAGTATCTGTTTGGTTCCCAGCTTTCACTCTTTGGAGTATAGACCCAGAAGTGGAATTGGTAGATCACATGGTGATTCTGTTTTATTATGTGAACAATTGCCATGCTGTTGTCCATAATGGCTGTATGATTTAACATTACTACCAGCAAGGCATTGGGTTCTCGTATCTCCACATCTTTGCCAACACGTTACTTTGTTTTTTGATAGTAACTATTTTAATGGGTGTGAAGAGGTTTTATGTTTTGATTTGCATTATCCTAATGATTAGTGATGAGTTGATATGTTTTGATAATGTAGTTTTGTGTGTGCTTCAAGTAGAACTAGAAATACTGAAATGAGATACTGTTAATAAGTATCTTTAGATAATGTAGCTAAAAAAGATGATGTTGGCATCAGTATCAAGGTTAGATAGAGGTTGGTGGCTGCTCAAAAGGGTCTTCCCATATGGCAAGGCCTTGGTAGTAGTGCCCTCCATAGTTCAGAATTTGGTCCTCGTTTTTAGTTCTCGGAGCTGGAATTTGTTTGAGCACCCAGAATTGACCAGGTCCTCAGTGTATGCTGTGTGTGTATATATCTTCTCAGTATCAAAAGTGATCAATATGTAAAGTACATTTAGAGATACACCTAGAGTGAGTGTGTGATTTCCTAATTGGGATATTTGTGTGAATTCCACACACCTTTCCCATTATCAGATTACTTAGGGTGCTAAATTGATGATTATAAATTTTCATGGTGAGCCTGGAATTTAAAGGGGGAAGGGACTGACAGGATGATAATCAGTTGTTCTTTCACGTAGACTTTGTAAAGACTTGTGCATCATCCTGTGACGACTTCTTCCACTGAAAGAACCACCAGATTCCAGGCCTCTGCCGTGGCCTCTGTCGTGGCCTCTGTCAAATTCCAGCCTGTTGTCACCCCCCTTACGAAAGCTTCTCAGTTTGCCCTTGAAGAAGGAGATGTTTCCTGAGCATCCCTTAAAGTGCTGTCTTTTTCTTTACATAGCTAAGATTCATTCAAATAATTGAGTACTGGAGCACCTGGGTGGCTCAGTTGGTCAAGTGTCTGACTTCGGCTCAGGTCATGATCTCAGGGTCCTGGGATGGAGTCCGGCATCAGGTTCCCCCCTCAGTGGGGCATCTGCTTATCTTTCTCCCCCTACTGTGTGCTCTCTCTCTCAAATAAATAAATAAAACCTTTAATTTAGATACAAATACTTGAGTACCTACCATATTTTGAACACTCTTCCCTACCCGGCATACTTTGATTACACTGGTGTAGTTCCTACCTTTCTGGTCACCTAGGGAGTGATCAGTTTCTATTTTAGGGGAATTTCATTAGCTCCCTTTACTAATGGTAAGCATGAATTTAAACTCTTCACTCTTCACTTACGTGGTACTTGAACCTCTAATGTTATTCTTTCTTCCACAGCAATGGCACAAGCATGATATCATTGATCATTCCTCCCAAAGACCAGATTTCACGAGTGGCAAAAATGTTAGCAGATGAATTTGGAACTGCATCTAACATTAAGTCACGAGTAAACCGCCTTTCAGTCCTGGGAGCCATTACGTCTGTACAACAAAGACTCAAACTTTATAACAAAGGTAATCTAGAGCTTGAACATTTTCCTCCTCTACTTTGTCTTGGTTATATTTTCCATTTTGATCCTGCCGTGATGCTTTTGGTTACTAATGGTTTTTTTCAAACATCTATCAGCAATGTCCCTTTGGCCTTGGAATTTAACCCTTTTTTTTTTTTAAGTTACTTTTCTTTAAAGTAGTAGTTACTTAAAAAACCTAAATCCTCCCATTTAAAACATCTCAAGAATTTTCGAAATTAGGGAGAGAATTCTGCAGGAGAGAATTACAGATATTTCTGCTTTATTTAAATTAATATCTAAAGGAGCCAGGGACATGGGGCACCTGGCTGGTTCAGTCGGTAGAGCATGTGATTCTTAATCTCCAGGTTGTAAGTTCGAGCCCCATGCTGGATATAGAGATTACTGAAAAGTAAAATCTTGAAAAATAATTCAAAATAAAGGAGCAGGGACAGTAGACTGTTGGAATATTTTCTATTAATTGAGGAAAATTAACTGGATTTAAGTAGAGAAATTGTGTTTTTTTGCAGTACCTCCAAATGGCCTGGTTGTTTACTGTGGTACAATTGTAACAGAGGAAGGCAAAGAAAAGAAAGTCAACATTGACTTTGAACCTTTCAAACCAATTAATACGTCATTGTATTTGTGTGACAACAAATTCCATACAGAGGTAAGAAGTTCAAGCGCAGAATATTGTCATCATTCCAGAAAGAAACCGCATACCCATTAGCAGTTATTTCCAATCCTCGCCTCATTCCCATCCCCCAAGATCTCTCTGCTCTAGGCTATGACTGATCTTTACTGTCTTTCTAGATTCGCTTAGGTTGATCATTTCGTACAGTGGGTGGCTCTTTGCAACTGTTTTAACTTAGCATCAGTACTTCATCCCTTTTTATTACCAAATGATACTTGGCCGCATTTTATTTTTCTCTTCATCAGTTGATGGGCATTTGTAATGTTTCCACTGTTTGGCTGTTAGGAATAATGCTGCTCTGAACACACATGTATGAATTTTTGGGTGACCATATGTTTTCTTGGGGAGAGGCAGGTATATGCTTAGGAATGGAATTTCTAGGTAATGTGGTAACTAACCTTTTGAAGAATTGCCAGACTTCTAAGTCATTGTACCACAAGGCTGGCTGTTTTCAAAAAATAAAAGACTTTACATTTATCATGACACAATGACATAATAATTCAGCATGTTTGAGGAAAGTGCTAAACTGAGGGGCGCCTGGGTGGCTCGCTCATTCGTTAAGTGTCTGCCTTCGGCTCAGGTCATGATCCCAGGGTCCTGGGATTGGGCCCCACATTGGGCTCCCTGCTCAGCAGGAAGCCTGCTTCTCCCTCTCCCACTCCCCCTGCTTGTGTTCCCTCTCTTGCTCGCTCTCTGTCAAGTAAATAAAATCTTAAAAAAAAAAAAAAGTGCTAAACTGAGTTTGGAGAACTGGTTAGAGGTGAAGACATAATTGCCTAACCAGATCTCCATATCTCCCTATATACCCATGATACTTGGCTGTATTTCTAGCACCCTTAGTAGCTCACAAATTTTAAAATCTTGAGGACTGTAAGAGGTTTTTTTTCCCCCATGAAACTTTTGAGTGACAGAGCTGCCATAAGATAAAATTTAAGGGTGGAAAGGAAGCCTCATTAGAGTGACCTAAATCAGTCAACAGTAGAACAATCAGGAATTCACAGCTGGCTTCTAGTTCAGTCTTTTGCTTTTCATCGACCTAGGGAAAAACCTCTACAGTGGAATTAGAACTGACATTTGTCGACACAGTTTACACAATGGATGATTTCTGCTAACTTGACAGGAAGTCCAATTCCAGTTGGATCTTGGTTTGTTGCATAGATGGTTGAGACTGTTCTCTTTGGCTCTTGCCAGCCTCCTCTGGCAAAAGCTTCATTGGGAAGGTCTTACCCAGTCCCACTTACCTGTATCTAGTTTCATGAAAGCAGATTTTGAGTCTTGTTAATTTAAATAGTACCTGGTACTTGTGTTATCTAGTTTTAACTTATTAAGCTAGCTTCATTCATATTTCTATACCTTAACTCTTCCAAAGTACTATTGAATCTTGCTAGCTTTGTTTATTTTGGCTTTTAATTGATATGTTGATAACTAGACATGAATGTGACATATTGCACCACACAATTTATGTCCTGTTTAATAGGATAATTACCCATTCTTATGAGGGGTAAGTATTCCCAGATGAGAAGAATTGCTGAAAACCTAAAATCAATCAAGCTACTTAACAGATTGTGATGTAATGTGCGTAACATTCATGTCTTAATGCTAATTATCAGACATGGTATGGTTAAAGATTGATTCTTAATGATTAATCTGCTCTCTGGTCAATTTTTAAAGGAAATTTTCTTCCTTAGTTAAAATGGAATGGGTAGGGATGCCTGAGTTGGCTCAGTTGTTAGGCGTCTGCCTTCGGCTCAGGTCATGATCTCAGGGTCCTGGGATGGAGCCCCGCATCGGGCTCCCTGCTCAGCGGGAAGCCTGCTTCTCCCTGTCCCACTCCCCCTGCTTGTGTTCCCTCTCTCGCTGTCTCTCTGTCGATTAAATAAATAAAATCTTTAAAAATAATAATAAAATGGAGTGGGTATTTCTTAGCTCCAAAAAAGCCTGGCCCCTAGCAATTAGTCATTTACCAGGTGCACAGACTCCCATCATGAAAACTCACCCATCTATGTGGGTTCCCAGGACTGTTTAAATATTTGCTCTTTCAGGAGGCAAAACTATTGGGATATAATTATATGCTAACCCAGAAGGAGGGGTTTCCTCCACAAAAACCTAAATCATTTAGCTATAATAATACCTTTAAAATAAGATTGAGTTTTATATCCTGGTATCATTAAGGAGGCTCAAGACATAGGAGTTAAATGAAACATTTCAAAACTAGATCTTTTTATAGACTTTTTTTCTGGGTATTTTACTCATGTATTCCTACTCTAGAGTTGATTTACAAGATACTCTGCTATAATGAATACTGCCTGTTGAAGCTGGGGTTGTACAGAAAGCTTTTGGAGGTTAGGTTTTTTGGGGTTTTTTTTCCTTTGAGGTTAGAATTTTAATTTGAATATTATGTTCCATGGATTGTCATCACTCTAAATCAAATCAAGGACTAGAATGGATCTGAACCCTGTATCTCTGGTGGCTTTGTGTTCATGTGTCCAGGTCAGGTTTGTTGAAAGGCTTCATATCAATATTGTTGGTTTTTTCCTGCATCTGGTTCAAAATTGTACATATGGGTTACATGTTTATAGCTGAAGTCTAAATTATTCCATAAAATGGCTTTTCACCCCACCCATCTTGGGTGGGGTGAAAGTGTTTGTATATGTCCTTTTGGATTTTGTCTTGACCCTGGAAAGGCTTTGGGATTTACTGTGTGGTACTTATGTTTGCTTTCCAGGCTCTTACAGCACTACTTTCAGATGACAGCAAGTTTGGCTTCATTGTAATAGATGGTAGTGGTGCACTTTTTGGCACACTCCAAGGAAACACAAGAGAAGTCCTGCACAAATTCACTGTGGATCTCCCAAAGAAACATGGTAACACAGGAAGAGAATATGAGCCCATTTTCTTTTGTGTCTGGCAATAAGAAAATAAATAGTGCAGTTGACCTTTGAATAGCATGGAGGTTAGGGGTACCGACTCAGCTGCACATAACTTATAAGTTAGAGAAAATGTTATTAAAATCATATGGAAGAGAAAATACATTTATAGAACTATACTGTATTTATCAAAAAAAATTCATATATAAGTGGACCTACACAATTCAAACCTTTCTTATTTAAAGGTCCACTGCAGGGGTGCCCGACTGGCTCATTTGGTGGAGTATGCAACTCTTCATCTCTGGGTTGTGAGTTCAGGCCCCACTTTGGGAGTAGAGATTACTTTAAAAAAATAAAACTTTTTTTTTTTCTTCCTTCTTCCTTTAAGAGAGGGGGGTCAACTGTATAATGGAGGGGAATAAATCCAGAGGATGGGAGAAACATCATAAAATGACTCATGACTCCTTGGTGCCTGTGGCTCTTGTTTTGATAAAATAATTAGTTACTCTCAAAATGCATGTCAGTTTATGCCAAACAGTTAAGGAAATAGTAATTTTTCTCTTTGTCCTTTTGTTGGGTAATGGCATGATTATTTAGTTTTTAATTAGCAAGTTATTTTGTACTTTTTAATGATTGCCCTTTCTCCTCCCACTTTTTGTGTCAAAGGTAGAGGAGGTCAATCAGCCTTGCGTTTTGCTCGTTTAAGAATGGAAAAGCGACATAACTATGTTCGGAAAGTAGCTGAGACTGCTGTACAGCTGTTTATTTCTGGAGACAAAGTGAATGTGGCTGGTCTTGTTTTAGCTGGATCAGCTGACTTTAAAACTGAACTAAGTCAATCTGATATGTTTGATCAGGTAAGTGTGAAGTCGGTGCTCTGTTAAGTTGCTAGGTGGGAATAAGTGGGTCCCCTGAGTACTGGGATGTACACATCTTTTCTGGTTTTCAAGTGATATATTTCCTGTTTAAAAACCTAACTTTAAAAAACAAAAAACAACCTAGCTCTGAACTGGCAGAATTCAGGGTGTTTAAGAAGCATTCCTCAGGGGTGCCTGGGTGGCTGAATTGGTTAAGTGTCTGCCTTCAACTCAGTTCATGATCCCGAAGTTCTTAAAAAAAAAAAAAAAGAAAGAAACATTCCCCCATACTTTTCTGGGTCTTTTTTCTTTTTCAAAACCAAACATTTTTATTTATTTTTTATTTATTTATTTGAGAGAGACCGAGAGAGAGCAGGAGAGCAACCGAGGTGTCCCAACCATTTTTATACAGAATCGTTCTGGTCCTGTGGCAGCTCCTAGTTTAGTGGATTGCCATAATTGGCCTCCAAATGGAGTGTGATTTCAAAGAAACTAGGGGCTAAAAGTTTTTCTGGTCTTTTTCTGATTTATTCCTGGAGGTAAATAAAGCAGTGAAACTGTCAGCAATATGACAGAGCTGATTAGCCTGAAGCATTTAATCCAGAAAGATCTTTTGGTTTATGACATGGGCTCAGACATAAAACTATTCCCAAGGTGCTCTACTGGAGAGGGAGTAGCATTATGGTAGAAGTTTCAGCCAAAAAAGTGGAGTTGTACGCTACAAACCTATATGGCTTATATGGCAGGGACTAAGAGTCCCCTGTTTCCTTAACAAGAAACTCAGTCTTGTTGGTGATTAATGAGATGGCCTCTTACAGGTGTAATTGAATGTATGATATAATTGGCTGGGGAAGTTTACCCTTGACAGTGTTGCTCACTGAGATCTGCTCATGAATAAATTGGGTTCTTTCCCTGTATTCTTCCCCTTAGACTTCAGTGTTCATAATGCTGAGCTTTGCATACCATTAAGAAGTAGTGGTCTTGGTAAAGGTGTTTTGAAGTTCTAATGATGCTTTTTTTTTTTTTTTTTAATGTGTGTGTACGTCAGAGGTTGCAATCAAAAGTTTTAAAATTAGTTGATATTTCCTATGGTGGTGAAAATGGATTCAACCAAGCTATTGAGTTATCTACTGAAGTTCTCTCCAACGTGAAATTCATTCAAGAGAAGAAATTAATAGGTATCAGTGAAATGCAGTTTACTTATTCTGTGAAAAGTTTTTGTGTATTTGTGTGTACATGATTATATGTATGTAACAGTGCTGAAAAGGTAAAAGAGGAAGATTTAGCATTTGTATTAAAAACTTCCTCAGTGAAATCAGATTTAATCTTCCTTTAGTCATGAGTTCTTTAGTCATGAGGTCTAATAAATGTGCTTATATTTCTGTTTTTACCCTTTGGCAATAGGAACCAAACTTCAGTCTCATTTTGCATATTATCCTTTGTAATAGAGTGGTGAATAGAGAGCCCAAATTAAAGATTAAGCTGGCCATTATTTGCCTTTGTTTCTGATTTAATGGAGCACACATACATTTCCAAATGACTGTGTATTTGGCCCAGCCCTTAACCTCTTGAGGGAATTCTGGAGCCTCAACTAGAGTTGTATGGTTTTTCACTGATTTGGGGCACTGAACTCATTTTTGAGTTGATTTTTTTCTCTCGGATTTTGAGCAAGAAAGTCTGTATCTACAAAGGAAACTTTAATATATGTACTTACGGACCTGTTCCTAATCACAGGACGATACTTTGATGAAATCAGCCAGGACACGGGCAAGTACTGTTTTGGAGTTGAAGATACACTAAAGGCTTTAGAAATGGGAGCTGTAGAGATTCTAATAGTCTATGAAAATCTGGATATAATGAGATATGTTCTTCATTGCCAAGGCACAGAAGGTATGAGAATTAGAAAATAAAATAAGATTGCTTTTTGTTAGTGACTTCTGTGTTCTGGAAACCTGAGGTGAAGATTTGGGGGAGGTGGCTTCAGTCTGCATAAATTGTTTTGCTTGAACTGATAAGTGTCTGCTTAAGACTGTTAAATTTCCTGAGGACAAGAACTCTATCTTGAATGTCTTTGGTGTTTACGTATGGTAGGACCAGCGTATCTGGTAGACACTCAGTGCATGCAGACTAATGTGTTTATGAAAAGAAGGTTGATAGGAGGAGTTCAGAAGCCCTTTGATCTAATCTGACTTACCTCATGAGACTTATATCTGTTAGTATATGAGAACCAGGTTAACACATTTTTTCCCCAATACTACAGAGGAGAAAATTCTCTATCTAACTCCAGAACAAGAGAAGGATAAATCTCATTTCACAGACAAAGAGGTATGTGGTTGTTTTCCTAGTTTGCTGATACATGCAAGGAAACATAAATCCATGTTCGAGCACTGGCAGCATAGAGTATCTGCCTCGGGAAACAAATTTCATACTGTTGGCACTTGGGGTGGTGGGGGGCAGCAGGAGGTGATCAGCTCTTATCTGCTGCATACCAGTCTGACTCCAAGGAAGGAGGCCATGCCATGGTTACAGTGGTTCATTATTTTTAGTAGTCAAGCATTCTCATTCTTGAAATAGTAGAGAAGATTTGACTGACCAGTGCCTCTTCTGCACTGTGAATCTGTGCTTTCTTCACTTACTTGATCAGCTCTTACACTGAAACACCTTCTGCAGGTTTAGTTTAAATGCATCACCGCAGCTTAAAGTGTCCCCTGCCCAGCACAGATCCCTTAAGGGTAGTACTTCCTTAAATTGGGAGTTGAAGGACTTTGTTTTTTTACAAGGCTACTCCTAAAGCAGTTCTGGTGTGTCTCTTCTGGGTTGTTAAATGAGTGCTGCCTGGAGACACTTTACAACAGCCCGACTTTAGAAACAACAACAGGACCAGAAGTTGAAAAACTTCTAAACTTCTAAGTGTTTGTTGACATTTCATCACTGAACCAGAGCCTGAGGAGGAATGTTATTTGAAATAGAACTTCTGTGCTGTTAGAATTATGTCACTAGAAACCATAATTCATATAGAGAGTTGTACACCCACTTAATGAAAGGAAGAATGAGAATGACAACGGATGGGGAGGATAGGGTCGCTAAGTCTTGATATATCCTGATCCCATTTTTTTCTGTATCTTCATGGCCACCCTTGTAGACAGGACAAGAACATGAGCTGATTGAGAGCATGCCCCTGCTGGAATGGTTTGCTAACAACTATAAAAAATTTGGAGCTACGTTGGAAATTGTCACAGATAAGTCACAAGAAGGATCCCAGTTTGTGAAAGGATTTGGTGGAATTGGAGGTGAGTAGCAAGTAAGGAAAATAAACTTAAGGCCAGGGTCTCAAGCCAAAGCTTTTCCTGGCTATCCCAAAGTCAAGTTACTTCAGGCAAAGGTGTGCATATCCTTCACCAAGCAAGGAGGTTGAGCCAACACATGGTTGCAGCTTCATTGGTTGGGACCGTTTTTAAAGATTTGTTTGAGAGAGAGGAGAGCGTGTGCACATGGTGGGGAGGGGCAGAGGGAAATGGAAGGACAAACCCAGGCACACTCTGTGCTGAGCGCAGAGCCTGACACAGGGTTCAATCCACCACCTGGAGATCACAACCTGACCCGAGCCGAAACCAAGAGTCGGATGCCCATCCGACTGTTCCACCCAGGCACCCCCTGGTTAGGACCATTTTTTATTACCATCTCTGTTTTCTGTAATTCTGCAAATTCCTTATTGAAGTGAACCTTCCCCATCCCATAAACACGGGTGATTTACTCTTTGATTTGCTTCCCCAGGTATCTTGCGGTACCGAGTAGATTTCCAGGGAATGGAATACCAAGGAGGAGATGATGAATTTTTTGACCTTGATGACTACTAGGTAGTCGACATGGGTCCGGCAAAACGTGCCTCACCCTCCAGCATCCAACCCAAGGAGCATACCCATGGTGGAATCCAAACAGATCCCTGCCTTACAATTGGAACATTTCCAGAACTTAATCCATGAGCATTGGATATTGAAAAGAAAACCGAAACAAAACCAGACCCAACCCTACACTTTGGTTTGTCATGGTGTCAGCGCAGCAGCCTACAACTAAGTTCCTAAAATGCCACTTTGGACTAATTTAAAAAAGAATCCCAGTTTTTACTTTTACTCGATGGTGAAATTGGTTGCTCTTGTATTTTATGAAAAAAAATGATTTTTTTAACCTTCATACATAGAATCAAAAATACTTTAACTGCTGTAAACCTTCAAAAGTTAATAGAAATGAGATCATACTGGTTTGTTTCTTATTTTGATTGGAGAAAAATTAAATTGCTGCATTTCGCAGTGACCCATTTACATGGCATTCTCAGCTTAGACTGCATAAGAAGAAATACACGCGGTGAAATGTCGGAACCATTTCTCTCTCGGTCTCTGTTTAATGTTGAAAGGGTGAGCTAATAGGAGGCAATTTCAACTTCACTCCCTCACACTACTCCTCCCCCTCCAGCCTGTCAGTTTCAAGGATGCAAACTGCATTGCAAAGTCAAACTGACATACGAAGCATTTGGGCCAAGTGCACGGTTTCCTTCCATCTGTTTTGCAGGCGCATTTGTGCCCGGGGTTTGGGAACCCTTAGCATCACTTGCATTGACAGGGGTCCCCATAATCTTAGCCTACTAGAAACCAGTTTGGGATGGATATGATGGGGCTTCTGTGCTATTGCTGGGATTGGGAGAAATAAAACATGCAATTTAAGTGGACACAAAGAAATTTAAGGAATATTTTATTTTGCTTGGGTCTGTCCTTGGTAAAAGGGAGGTGGTCGTGTTTTCCTTGTGTTGGATGGCATGAGATTATGTGAATGTTTTGATTTTTTAAAAATGAACTGCAAGGTTTTTCACAGGAACGACTGACATGTATGACTGTGCATGTAATTATAAACCCCTGACCTCCTGGTGGGGTTGGAGCATCTGTTTCAAATATGGGACTTACAAGCACCTCTCATATGAGAAATTATGGGAGGGGGGTAGGGAGGGCAGGGGTGGGAAGGGATGGGACACAGCTTCTGGCACCAAGGACTTAACTATGGTGGATCCAAAAGTGGGCCTGAAAACGTGAAGCTTATGCTTCACAGCTGGGCTCTACGTGGGACTTGACCCCAGCTGACATGCAAGGTCATCGTGTGCCCGAGGTGGTGACAGTGAATAAAGTGTATAGGATGTGCCCAGTGGTAGCAATGAAAAAAAGTATACCAAATGGACTTTGAAGGACCAAAGGTTTTAAAAGTCAATTGGTATCATTCCCACACTGATAGGGTAGTGGGGTGCATTTGGTTTTCAAATTGGGTACTTTTAACACTTTAGTGCCTGACTGCTGTTCTTCACTGACTTGACTCAGTTACTCGTAGCTTTATTGGTCTGAACCAGCTCCTTGTTCCCAGGTTGCAGACCTGCCTATCGTTCCAATAATCCTGTTTCACTTGAATGAAGGGAGTATGTCTTAACTGTAAAGCTTCTGGTTCTCACACTGTACTCTAAGGTCCAACTGACTGTCTTTCAATGTATAACCTGATGTCTCAACCCCCAGTGAGAAGAGTCAATTCTTTGGTATTCACCAACGTGGGAGGCTTCACCGGAACAGGCTTTTGCTTTGGGCTCTGCTGTTTGTTTGCAGAACACCCAAGAGCGAGCAAACATGCTCTCTTCACAGCAGTACCTTAGGGTTTTGCCATTGTAAATGGGTCTAATGTGATATGACAAGACCAGAGCAATTGGATGTAAATTTACATTTTTGAATATGCTTGTTGTTTCACATGATACATTTAGGGTATGCAGCTCCTTTTGTAGTTTTTATTTTTACTATTTAAGTTTGGAAATGATGCCAAATTTTGTATTTCTTTAATCAATGTGTTCTCTTTGGTGATATATATTGCATTATATATTGATGTGTGTATCAATATATACTGATATGTATTACACTTACACATACAAACACGTAAATAAGAGGGGGTGAAAACCGTAGCCTTTGCATTCTCTATAGCCTCTACAGAGAGATCCTAAGCAGCGAAATCTTGGTGTTGTGATGTACAGAAATGGAGAAGAGTATTAAACCATATTTAAGAATACACTTTGTGTGCTTGAGATTCTTTAGGATTGTTCCCTGGCGAGGTCTGAACCACGGAGAGAGTATGAGTGAGCTCTCCAAGGCGTGTGTTAAGTTTAGTTAATTAGCTCATAACTTTGCAAGCCTTAGATTTTAGTTGTCTTTGTTACATTTGCCTATGGAAAGGTATATGCAAAAGATGCCTGAGGTCATGATCCCAAAGTCAACATCAGAAGGAGGTTCACGTTGCTGGGGCGAGACTAATTTGTAGTTTCCCAGATTCCACATGTGCACCAAAGGGAAACCTGCCCCTTCTTTAAAAAGCTGTTTCAAGTATGTTATCCCATGTAACTCAAGATTTCATGGAGGTAGATGGTGTGCCCATTTTACATGAAACAGGCCAGAGGAGATGAAGCAGCAGCTCTGCAGTGGTGAAGTCAGGTTTTACCCCAGGCCTAATTCCACATTTGATCCTTTTTCTACATCTGGTTACCTTTGGGTGGTCCAGATGGAAGAGCAGAAGCTAAGCCTCCTTGTTCTCCCCTACCTGGTATACTGGGTAGGAGAGTAATAACCTCATCCAAGAGCAAGCCTTCCAGGTTGGGTCAAGAGAAGAGAATTTCGTTTGCAAATTTTAATTTGCTTTTCCCAAAGATTGAAGTGCTTAAGAGTTCCTATTTGGTGTTTTCGGGAGCCTAGTTAAAAAACCAAGGTGTGATGCATGACTTCCTTTCTCCCTATTTAAGGAAATCTATCTCACAAAATTGACCAGTAATGCTGCCAGATTTAGATGATAGCCTTGATGAAACCCAGTCACCCTCTGGGAAGGGGCAGACTTGCCTCTGCATGGTGGAGGTATATAATTTTCCTCCTAATGGCATCCCTACGTGCTGTTTGAAGTCAAAAGTTGGAAGGCAGCACACTAGTGCTGGGTATGTGGGCTGTTGTGTTTGCCTGTCTGGGCCTGCAGCGCTTGCCATCTTTTGTTCTCTGGCTTCGGTTCTCATGCCGTGACGCTCCCAGACCGGCACACTGGATTGAGGGCTGAGTGCCAAGGTGGAATTTAAGCCTCATGCCAGCTTCTCCCTTGTTGCCAATTTCAGTGAGCGCCTGCTAGGACTCCCACCTGCCAAGTCCCACCCTGGTAGGACTCTGCCTCCAGAGACATAGGAAATGACCAGCCAAGGGGTTTAGAAGCATTGGATGCCAAAGTTGCTGAGGATATAGCTGAACAACAGGAACTAGAGGTACATGTGAAAACAGTTCACCTCCAGGGTTCTTTTATAATCAACTCTAAACCCTGTCTGGGAATGCTGTTCCAGGTATAATCTAAAATTGCTTGGCAGGCTGTTTGTGGGGCTTAGTTTAGAGCCCAGGTCAGAGATGCCTGGGTGGCTGAGTCGGTTCAGCGTCTGCCTTCGGCTCAGGTCATGGTCCCAGAGTCCTGGGATCGAGCCCTGCATCGGGCTCCCTGCTCAATGGGAAACCTGCTTCTCCCTCTCCCACTCCCCCTGCTTGTGTTTCTGCTCTCGCTATATCTCTGTCAAATAAAATTAAAAAAAAAAAAAAAGGCCAGGTCAAAGAGTCACCTCTTAGGACAAACACCTTTGGTTCTGGCTCTGCATGAGTTGGCCTTCTGATTTCAGGTAAGTCCCTATTCCTCAGTTTCCCCCCCAGGGTAAGGAAGTCTGTGAATCTAAAGAACCTTTCCAGCCTTAATGCTATCAGGGTAGCATTATGGTGAACAAATCTGTCTTGTGACTGGGATAGAAATTTTGGCTGTCAGTGACACTTTGGCAAATTATTTTAATGTCTCTGAACAGCAATTTCCCTACCTGTAATAATGCCTACTCCATAAGGATTAAGGATTAAATGCAGTAAGCATGTGAAATGCATAATACAGTGCCTGGCACTTTGCAAGGGTTCAGATGGGAGCTGCTCTGATGGTCCTGCACTACCAACCTTAGTCCTCCAGAAGTAGCCAGGGTGAGTTTGCGCTGGCAACCACGAGGTGGTGCTAGAGTTAAGGATACTGGCTGTGGAATAAATAAGTTGCTTCTGGTGGGGAGATTTCTGACAAGCATTAAGAGGTGCCTGGGACAGCTTGCTTACCCTTAAAATTTCAAGAAATGGAGAGGGCAAACTACTAAAGGATGTAGGGATGACTGAACATCAAGGAGAACCCAGGAGTCTCAATCTGGGCTTTGAGCTACCCATTTGTAATATAACTACAATCACCAACATGGGTTGAATAGTTACCAGACACAAGTGCTGTGTCACAAGCATCATCTCATTTAATCCTTAGAAAAACAGTGAGGTGGATACTGTTTTATATCTGCCCATCCAAGTTCATAAGCTACTAAGTGACAAAATCTGGAACTCAAAGACAAGTCTATTTGGTTACAAAGCCAACTTAAATGCAGGTCATTCCTCACTCAAGAAGGGAGAGAACAATTGCCGGTACTGCTAAGAAGATAGGTGGACTCACCTCACCAACCCTTGTGCTTTCAGGGACAACCAACAGCTCAGATTCATCTGGAAGGCACCCATCTAGCAATTCTATCCTTCCCCCAACACATACAAGTTTTGACTGGTCTACCAGCACAACCACAGTGGAGGATGGATAAAAAGAGCTTCCTTGGACTCTGTAGAAGATCCCTATAACTAATTCAACATCTTCAAAGAAGAATGTACACACAAAATGGAATTTCTCAGAGACTAGGGGATCTGCCCCTGCTCTTAATATGTCATCAGTAGGACAATTAAAGGAACTGGGGGGCTCCTGGGTGGCTCAGTCATTAAGCGTCTGCCTTTGGCTCAGGTCATGATCCTAGGGTTCTGGGATCGAGCCCCGCATCGGGCTCTCTGCTCAGCGGGAAGCCTGCTTCTCCCTCTCCCACTCCTCCTGCTTGTGTTCCCTCTCTCGCTGTCTCTCTGTCAAATAAATAAATAAAATCTTAAAAAAAAAATAAAGGAATTGGAATGTGGACTCTAGATAAAGGTACTGTATCAATGTTAAATCTTCTGAATTTGATTACCGTGGTTATGTAAGAGAATATCTTTTTTCTTAGAAGATACACATTGAAGTATCAAGGGTTTATAATAAGACCTATTCATTAAGGAAAATTATGAAATTTCAGAAATAGAGAAGTAAAACAGCATTATTTAACAGCTTAGAATCATCATGAACATCCATTATAGAACAGTGTGATAATGAGTATTTAGGTTTGAACTGGTTCACAAGGTATTTAAAACAAAACTTTGGTTTAATTCTTCAGTCAAGTTTGGTTTTCACTCAGGATTTGGGTTTGACTCAGAGGTCATCATTTAGAAGTTAGCTCTGCCACAGCGTTTACAGCTCAGGAGAAATCCTTATCCAGTCAGCCAGTGGGGCCGAGGGACTGTGCCTGGGAGTTGGGCCCAGATTGGAAAGAAAAGAGCAGAGGCAGGGCCAAGAGAAGAGCTGCTGTCACATGCCTCAGAGATAAAATCACTGTGGGGTTGGGGGGACCCGACTGGCTCAGTCAGTAGAGCATGCAACTCTTGATTTCTGGGTTGAGTTCAAGCCCCACATTAGGTGTAATCTCTACAGATTACTCAAAAAAAATTTTTTTTTTTAAAATCACTTTGGGGTTGGTCTGGTGCTGGGTGGATGAGATGAGGCCGTGTTAAGTACAGGGTTTCTTGGGGCACCCTTGAACCCTAGCTTAGTGAGCAACCCCAGGGATGATGGGAAGGAGGCAGAGCTCTACCTGGGAGCCTAGAGCCCATTCTCACTCTAGTCTTTTGTCTACAGTCACACCCTTATACAGCTCTTCTGTTGCCCCATACTTTCACTTCTTAAGGAATCAGAATTTTAGTATTTGAAGGGGACCTTGTTACTTCAATCCCCTCATTAAAAAGAGAAGAAAGCTGAAGCCTAGAGACAACATAATGACCTGTCATGCTTGTGCGGCAAATTAGCAAAGCCAACATGAACACCTGATGTTACAGCTCCAAATTCTTTGCTCTTAACACATGGATCGTCTTGTTATTCCTCATCAAAACTCCATTCTCCCCCTTGTTAGGGATGAGAAAAGGGAGGATCAGAGAGTGAGTGGTTTGACGCAAAGACAGAGCTGGGAGGGGAAACGTGGCCAACTTCCAGGTGGGGTTATGAAAGCTGTTTTGAAGTCACTTCCCTGTGAGTCAGGGTTGGCTTGAGTGGGTAGATTAACTTGCTTCTCCAGCCCCCAGGGTTCCAAATTAGCCCAATCTAGGTTTCCCTGTCAGACTTCCAGCTCTTCCACTCTGCTGAAATACCCTGGGCTCAGCCCCTTCTGCTCAGTTCTCCATCCCCAAAGGAAACGTAGAGGGCAAGCCCATTTCCCAGGGAAGCCTGGAGACCAGGAAAGGAGGGTGGAAACTTTCAGAGAGAGACTCTCAGAGGAATGACAAAGATCTTCTAAGGTAAAGGCAAAGATTCAGGGATATTCTGCTACATGGAGGAAGGTAGATGGGAGATGGGAGCTGGGCTTAAGAAGGAGAAATAACCAGGGTGTGATGTGGGGACACGTGCCCCATGTTACATGGCTGTCCAGAGCCATGTACATTCTCAGCCCAGGATCCCCAAGGGGTGGGATGGACCAACCACCTCATGACACAACCCCCACTGAAAGGCCTTCAGAAGAGGACTCTATCGGTAATGGGGCAGGATGTCATCTAGTCACCTAGGGAAGAGGAGGTGAAGTTCTTTAGATAAAGTTGCATTTCTGTGCTCAAGCAGAGGCCCTCCCTTGCACCCCTGTCAAACTCTGATTCTGAAGATAGGTAGAACAGAAGGAAGGGGCTTTGCCCCTCCCTGGGCAGCTGAGCAAAAGCCCTCAGAAACCCAGTCTCCTCAGCTTTCTGTTCCCCGACACAGTCCACTGCCACCCCTATTCCTTAAATTAGATTTGGGTTAACCCCGGTCTTATTCTTTCATTTAAGCATTTACAGACATTTCTTGTGTGCTGGGCCTGTGCAAGATGTTGGGATACAGTG